TGGATTTGAAATGGTAGAGCAGTATAATGGCCAGCGAGGTTCCTGGATCTGTCGCCAAAAGGGGAGGAGGGGAGGGGGAATTTCTGGACTTTATTTGTAAAAGTGAAATCAAGTACATTTCAACATTTACAATAAAGAGTACAAAATGCATTCGGAAGTATAGAAGATATGTTCAAAGAGCTATAAATAAGATTGCACGAAAAATAAATTAATTTGTGCATTCTTCGTATCTATTACCGTTTCCGAGATACCAATGCTCGTGCTTCTAATTTGTAGCACCCCTGTATAGGTACTAAAATATCAATTTTTTTCTGAGAAAAACAAAAAAGTTATTAGGGTGAACCACTTCTGAAAAACACCCGGTATATAAATATGCCCTAAGACCAATAATATAAGACTTATTTTTAAGACGAACGTTAAATTACTGCACACCAATATTTTGCTTTGACATAACATTTTAGAAGAAATTATCCACGCTTATATTTTAGTAGATAGTTAAAAAAAACACATAAAAGCTGCAATAAAATTGTATTGGCCATTAATTTTCTAATTCTGTTATGTTTTGTGTAATATTTGAGACGTAGATATTTTACTATTTGTATAGACGTCTTATGTAGAGTTGTTAGGTATTTAAACTTTTGGCTAATAGCTGTGGTGTCATGAATCACAACTCTACATCTCTCCATCGCAGATTTTCACGTGATCTGCATAGTAAAAATGTATTTTTAGATGGGACAAGCTGACATGTTTTTTTTATAAATCACAGTTTTTTAGCTACACATAATTTACCTAGATATAATCCACGTAGTTTCGTTTGATATTTTTTTCCAAAGATATTTTTGAAACGCAAACATTTTTTTCATGGATAAAAATAGGTATCAAAATATTATGTAAGAACAGATGATCTTATGTGAGGCACCGTATTTTTTTCTTGATATATCTACAATTTTCTTCACGAAAAAAATATTTTAAATTTAGCACATTTTTTATTTATTTTTTTAAAATAAATATATCAATTTGATGTTGATATATTCCTTTTAACATCTAGATATTTTTAGAATTTTTAACAAAGAACGTCTAATTGCACCTACAATGTTTGTTATAATATTTAGCCTCGTTAAAAGTCGTTATTTCGTCGAACTGCCTGAATCCATTTTTGCTTTTGATTAAATCGGTGTATTAAGTCTGGAAAGCTGTATAAAATGTGGTTCCGGCGTACTAACACCCAGTAACAAACACTAATTCTAAAGTCTTCTAACACAGTATTGCCAACTATTTCACTCATTGTTGGATCGCGCTACTTTGTTCTAAAACTCAAATTATATGGACTTTGGAGTTATTTACACGGGGTAATTATTATTAAGTTTTTTTTTACATTTTCTTTGTTGTTATTGTTAAGCATCCAATTATTTATCGACCTAAAAAAGTTTTATTACTCAGTAATTATTTCCGATCCGCAAGCAATAAAAAGTTTTTTAAAATTTCAGCAGGAATAGTATTAACTGCGGTCGTTAAAAAATCGCATAAATCTTTTATGTTCATAAATTCCATTTTGTATGTTTTTCTTAGAGATGTGCAAGAAGAAATAACGTAAGTTTTTTTTGATGCAAGTAGATATATAATGCATGCATGTCGATTTAATTTTGTTGATACTATTTTTGAAGTACAGATATGTAAAATATTGTAAAAGTGGTTAGGTTAGGAATTGAAGGCGTAATTTTTCATATAATTAATGGAAAAGTTAAAAGTTTGACAACTTTTTTTACCAATAATTGAAACTGTCTACCACTAATTTTGACGTTCTGAATTATTACTATGAAATTAAAAGAACAAACTTCTATGCTAATTGAAACTAATATTTTATTCCACTAATTGCGAGGTTCTGAATGAAGCTTTAAGCTACTAAAAAAAATTGATATTTCTGTTAAAATAATTCTAGGTAATAAAAATTTCAGAAAATATATCTCTAAGGATAGCTACAATGACGTCCCGTAATCCTGCTTTTAAAACATAACAATTGGTTTTTATATCTAAAAACCAGCTGTTATCTTTTAACAGCAGGATTACGGGACGTCATTGTAGCTATCCTAAGATTTGGAACAGATCAAACAAAATATTCGCAATAATAATATTAGCCCGAAAAATTTGGTCACTTTTTTAACGATTGAGATTATTATCGATATGGTTTTGAAATGACACATCTCTAATAAATGGTATTAAGGCATGAAATAATTAAATAAATGTTTATTTCACGACAATGAAATTCCGAAATACTTTAATTTTTTATTCTCTTCAGAACTTGCGTTCGAAGAGACCTTTAATATATCCTTGAAAGAAAAACTGTATTTATGCACGAACAAAATAACAATAAAGACACCTACACAAGTTGACGTGTTAACTTTTGTCTCGAAACAAGTGGAAATAAAACAGAAAACTCGTTTAGTGGATGTTTGAAGGGCATGTGGCTTTTGTCATATTTTTAAAATTCTTTATATTGGTTTTGTTCTCCGGTCTTGTTTGGCTTCCTTTTCAAGTATTTTTAAACCTTGGTACACTTGATTATTTTCTTTTCTAGACGATTAAGCAAAATTATGTTACTCTTGTTGTAAAGTAACAAGTATATATGGGGTGTCCTATTTTTGTGTGTTTTATGGGGATTCTCATTAATCAGTAGCGATACAAAAATGCAGTTTTCACATTACTGTCGTACTTTTTTATCACACTGAGGATTTGCACTTAAATTTGTCCTAGCCCTTTTAGTTCCTGAGATACAGGGCGACTTTGAAAATGTTCCATTCCCTAGCATTTTCCAACCCCTTCGTATCTTATTACTTATATGAAAATTGAGTTCCATAGAGCTTTCAAGTAGAATTCAGTGGCGTAACTAGTTTTCTGCTGGGAGCTATCGTTCTTGATTGGTTGCCCTCTCTTATATATTTTCGTGTAATCAAAATATTTTAGGAAACAAAAATAAATTAATTTTAAATATATGAACAGTTATTATTGACATCAACAAAATTAACTTTCTTAACTGCACTTAAGGGACATAAGGGCCATTAATACCGCTTTGTCGTTCAAAATATTCTAATAAAGTTGCGATTAGTATTTTACGGCTATTAAGCTATCTTGTACACTTTGCACTAAAAGAGGTTCAAAACAATGTTCGACTGCAAGGTCTGCTAGTAAAACTTTTTAAGCTTAAAGTATACAACACTATTTATTTAAACCAAAAACTCGTAATATACAAAACTAAAGTGTCAAAACGATGTCAGGAAATAAATAAATAAATGCGGCAACTTGATGTTTTTTACAACAGGAAATAGCGCGAAATTTAAATTCAAGTTAGTCAGAGCGGCGCCGAATATGTCCATGGTTTAACACCAATGAATTTAAAAATCTCTCCCTCGATTATGTAAGTAAAAGTTTAATTAATATCCAATATAAAAAATAATATACAGTTGATCCCATTTAAAAAACCGTAAGTTTGGGTCATATTTCGAAAATGAGAGCTCCCAGCGAAAATATAGTTACGCCACTGAATTCTATGTGAGAAACTCTATGGAACTCAATATCTCCCTTTCGAGTCAAAAAGTATTTTCAAATTCGCCCTGAATGTCAGGATCTAACAGGGTTAGGACAAATCTTATTCTTTATTATCCAATAATAATCTATCTTTTAATCTGTATTATCTTGGCGTCTTTAGTTTCATAAAAAAGTAGCATACTAATGTGAAAATCGTATTTTTGTAGCTCTGTTCATAAACCAGAAACCCTGTAAAACACTCAAAACATGGAACTAGAAGTATTTTAAATATATTTAATCTATTTTGGATAAATGTACTATACAGGGTTTCCCAGAAATAAGTGCAAGTATTTTAACTGGTAGTATAGTTCTCAACGCCTATGAGTTTTTTTTCGCGAAAAAAAGAATTTGGAAATTCGAAATTTTTTGAAAAATTTTTTGGATTTTTTTTAGTTTTTAGTTAAGAAACATAATTTCTTGATAATATGGCAACGTAAGTATTAGATTAAATTTACAAGAAAGACAAAAAATCCAGAAAAGATCCAGTGTAACTGGATCTTTTCGTGGTGATTCGGTAACTTTTATATTTTTTTAGTTATAAAAACGAGATTTGGTATGTTAGTATATGACATAAATTAGGATTGATTAACGTATTCGATTGTTTTCGGCCATTTCCGGTTTTACCGGAAATTACTACAACTTTTGATTTTTAAATGGCACCCCGGGATTTTTTTACTATATTCGATAGAAAATGTCACTCTGAATTGAATGACATATCATATTCAACTTTTGACATTTTGGTATATGGTTTATTTGAAATTGTAACATGCGGTTCATAACGACAATTTGACTCGAAATACCAAATGTGTGGTATCAAATTATTCGTAAAAAATGCTTTTTCTAAATCTACTAATGAGCCACCTTCGTTCCATTTGAAAAAATTGAGATATGATTAAAAATACGAGTTGAGCATTTTCTAACTGGTCAGGACAAGGCACTAAAAACATTAGACCATCAAATCTATTTTTCCAAGGCTCCTTGATGAATAATTAGTGTTTTTAATATAGCCATGGCACTCTAGATTGAATTTTAAAATACAATTTTTTATTAAGCGAGTATGTCAAAAGTTGACATATGATATGACATTCCATTCAGAATGTCATTTTCTATCGTATAAAGTAAACAAAAATACCGAGAGTGCCATTTAAAAATCAAAAGTTGTAGTCATTTCCGGTGAAACAGGAAGTGACCAAAAACAATTGAATACACCAATCAATCCTAATTTATGTCATATACTAACAATACCAAATCTCGTTTTTTTATCTGAAAAAATAAAAAAGGTATAGGGGGCGAGCCACTTTTGAGACGCACCCGGTATATAAATTAAATTAAATAATTCAATTACAACTTACTTGTACTACTATAGCAAACAGTAGGTTGCAGAAAATATTTATAATTTTTGTTTATTATTGTTTCAGTTGTCTTTTGTGACTATGCCGCCTCAGGAAGATCACTTCAGTTCATCGAAGAGTACATTCTACGAGAAGTACTCCCAACATATGGCAACACTCATTTTACAACAAGCATATCGTCTTTACAAACCACCTTGTTTAGGTAAGTAAGATACAGTCAAATAGCTATTTTAAAAGTGTTTTTTTTTTGGCTTAAAGTGTTATTTTTTTATACAAATTGGTTTATTATGGTAATTTTAAAATGTTGACCAATAGTAGTTTAAATGAAAACAAAAGGTACAACCAAATTAGGTAGAATACAAACAATAGACATATACTGTACGTAATCAAGAGCCTTGATCAAAATTTATTCAAATAGACGAGTTTTTTAGAATTCAGGAAATCGCAAGCCTTTGTTATTAAAAACAGACAATTATAGAATTAAAGGTGTGATGGTTTCACTTGCTTGTACATTTTAGCGAATCTATTACCTTATTAGTTTTTTATTGTTTAATGAAATTGAAGAAATTAATTATTTAGTTGGCTAGCGGAAACTTAACGTGAATTTGCGTTGAACGCCTTCTTGAGTAACACTTTAGTTAAGTGGTTCATGCGCTTATATACAATTCAATAAGGATATCCGGAGATCTGAGATATAATTACACAATCGCAGTGAGTCGTTATAAAATTACTGCAAGTAGCAAGGAAGAGCAGCCTAGTAATAAGATAATATCATGCATTAAGCATAGTAATTTAGTTGTGATTTTATAAATTATTTTTTACGTGTTGATTGGACAAATTATTGATAATTCAATAGAAAATTCTACATATTTTTTAACTTACTGGCATTGAAAAGTATTCTGATTTTTTTTGCCAATGAATCTCTTGAATTGTAGAGAAATTCACCAGGGCAGAGATGTAGAATGTAGAATGAGGGGGAGGAGGGAGGGGAGTAGTCACTGCAACCTTAAAGATTTATAAGTCTATAATAAGATCTAGTATTGTGTCCCCCTTCCTTGAGTTATAACTCATCATACAGCCCCCAAGATTGATGTGTTACTATCATACATGAGGACCTGTTGTAGGGGGGACAGGGTATTTCTCCATTCTCCTCTGACAACACATATTCTTCCTCCGAGGGTATACAAGTATACACCCTTCCACCATTGCGGTTTAGCCCTCCGTGCTTTTCGCAGTCGAGGAGTTTGTCTCCGGCTTAAGTACCCGTGAGGTGGAGGCTGGAGGATCTGTCTCCATTTTCTCTACCTTTTTAACTTGGTCTCTCCTTAGACCTGACACCGGTGTTGTCCTGAATCTATATAATACCGGATATGTCCCTCTTTCTCTATACTGGAGGATCTGACCATGACCCTCCTCCCTCGAGATATAGACCCGCCAACTCGATGTCAGTCTTTGCATTGGAGTTCTGAGCCTGGATAAAGGCTCAACAGGTAGGCGGTGTCTTTTCCCTTGCCCTCGGCAGAAAGACCGTGATGGTCACTCCGTTTGGAATGTTTTTCCCTCCACTGCAACCAGTCCCGACCCTTGCCAGTTCTTAAGCTTAGATGCCATTTCCACCAACCAATCCGCCGATTCTTGAGAAACACAATCTATGAGGCGCATGACCACCCGAAAGTGTATACCTGCATAACGTAGCTACTCCTTAAACCCACATATTGTGGACCCTTGCGTTGCAATCCGCTCGCTACTGCTTCGTCCAGTATCGCCTCTTCTAGAGCCGACTGCTGGTTGGTGAGGACAGAGATGAGCGAAGAAGTTTATAGTAGACTAGCACTATTCTAGTACATTCGCCGAATCACTAGTACTAGTACATTTGCCAAAATTCACGTCAGACCTTAAAAACAAAGGTAAAAAAGGACTCAAAGCTGTAGTGGTTCTATTAACAGGGCATTTTTTTATTTGAAGTTTTTCTATGTAGAAAAGGCCTCTATTAAAAATCTATTAAAATAATGCAAGAGTCTAGCAGCAAGACCAAGACCAAGATTGGAACCTGCAAGACTATTTACTAATTACACCAAAACCAAGACAGTCTCTGTATTTGTCGTCATAAATATTCTGAGAAAAAATTATGCCTACTGGAAATTAGAGACTTTAAGTTAAATATTTTTAGTGTAATTCTATAGCATCACCTCAAGGTAGATGCGCGGATTCAACTTTAGTTATAATATAACGAACAACATTGTAGTTAGGATATTCCTTCTAATTCATATTAATGAAGACTCACATCATTTTTAATAAAGTATACTGCGATATCACAAAAACACTTTTATTCCCTTTAATTATTTTTTTCTCTTTTTCCATTACAACCCAAGTCGAAACCTATAGATATTAACACTATGATGCCATTATAGTACACAATAATTAATTATGGGTAATATTATTATTACGCATATATAAATAATAAATGCCAGTAATTAATAATATATTAATAATAAATGCCAGTCAATGTTATTTTTTCATCAAACTGTTAAAAATTACATAAACCAATGACATGCACCAGAATGACTAGAATACTTTAATTTAAATTTTGGATTACAGTTGAGGGTTGGAACCTTTGGTGTTATACAGCAAAATATAAACACTAAATCACCACAATACACCAAAACACTTTTTTTTTTAATATTACAGGCAATAAATGCAGCATTTACAGGCAAATAAATTACAGGCAATTAGATGCATATGAAAGCATCAGAATTAATAAATGTAAAGATAGTATGAACAGAGTCAACGGTCCAATTCCTTCAAGTTCTTTGTTCCTACTACTCTAGTGGCGGAAATCTAACCGTTACGCTCAGTTGGCTCTGACTCGGTTGGCTAGATTTTGCCACGCCCACTCGGTGCCTACTGAGCGAGTATATAAACGCTCAACTTGTAGATTGTACTTTAGTTTATAATCATCTGCTGATGATGCTAACATGGTTAGCGAAACGCGCGTCCAGTGTAAAATAAAAGTGTTTTGGTTTGGTTTTAGTGGTGATTTAGTGTTTTTATTTTGCTGTTAAATTTTGGACGCAGACCAATCCAGGATTCGGAAAAGGGGAGGGTTAGACACAAAATTTTACTCAAAGTACATATTCCAGGGTCGTTTGTGACAAAATAAATTAATAATATCGTATTATCGTTGAACCTAAGGGGGGCTTAATCCGAGGTATAAACCTCCGAGACGCAGATTACGTTAGTTCATTTTAATAGATATCTTTCTTTTTCTTAAACCTTTATTCAATATTTCAATTGTGATTTTCTTGGGTATAGGTTTCTCTATTAAAATTAAGTCATTTCTGGATCTTTTTAAAGTTGAATTCTTATATTAATGGATTTTTTATATTAATGGATCGATAATATAAGAATTCGATGGCCGAAACAACATCTGAGATGCATCAAAATCGAAACGTCGCGTCGGCAAATAAATAATTTTAAAACATCAAGGAATCATTTAATTTTTAATAGGGAAACCTAGACCCCAGAAAATCACAATTGAAATGTTCATTTTAATCATCAGCGTTGCAGATGATTAGAGTGAACTAAACTGGAGACTAGGTAATTACGCTAATGATGCTAAAATTGTTAACGGAATGTGCATTTAAAACATTAATTTCAAAATTGAAAATTTGATGCTATTTTTAAAATTTAAAACCTTTGCAAACAATTAAATAATTTAAAAAATATGCTGAAATATCTGTAATGAAGTTAGTTCCAAGGTTCTTAAATGAAGTCACACTGGAAGATTGATGAACTTTGGTATATAAAATTATAGAGGGAAATGAAAATAGTAGATATTTCTTAAATTGCGTAATTTATTTTTGGTGATGTAGCCTAGCATAACAGTAATTTGGTTTTCTCTCAAAATTATATTGCGAATTGCAAATGCGGAAAATAACCTTATTACGATTTCGTAACAAGTTATTTCATCTACGTAAGATTATTTATAGTCACAATAAATGAAAGATTAAATAAGGAAATCTTGGTGTGTAATTATTGATTGTTCTGAACCTATATAATTCCTTTTAAACGTTTTGTATATTTTCAGAAAAATATATATGGAAAACAAATAAACCATAAAACAAATGAACGAATATGTAAGATTGATTAAAAACAAAATATTTATACAGGGTGTCTCAGAAATAAGTGCAAGTATTTTAAGGGGTGGTAGATCTCGATAAAAGAAACATACCTATTTTCTCTTTATCGTTTTTCAAATAAGTCCAAAATAACGGTGTTATTTTACTTTGAAAATTTCCAAAAATAATGACTTTTACTAAAATTTTGAGAACCACTGGATCTTTTCTAGATTTTCTTTCTTCTAAATTTAATCTACTACCTATGTTGCCATATTATCAAGAAATTATGTTTTTTAACTAAAAACTAAAAAAAATTCCAAAATTTTTTTCTAAAAAAAAATTTAAATGTATATCTCCGAAACTAAAGTTCCAAGAAAATTCGTAATATATCTAGAAATTCATTTACCCACTAGTAGTTATAAAAAGCATTTTTGGTAAACTCTGTCTCAAATAGTTTCTGAAAAATAAAATTAATTTTCTTAAAAAGGTCCGATTAAATGAATATCTCCGAAACTAAAGTTCCAAGAAAAGTCGTAATATATCTAAAAATTCATTTACCCACTATTAGTTATAAAAAGCATATTTGGTAAACTCTGTCTCTAATAGTTTCTGAAAAATAAAATTAATTTTTTTAAAAAGGTCCGATTAAATGTATATCTCCGAAACTAAAGTTCCAAGAAAATTCGTAATATATCTAGAAATTCATTTACCCACTAGTAGTTATAAAAAGCATTTTTGGTAAATTCTGTCTCAAATAGTTTCTGAAAAATAAAATTAATTTTCTTAAAAAGGTCCGATTAAATTAATATCTCCGAAACTAAAGTCCCAAGAAAAGTCGTAATATGTCTACAAATTCATTTACCCACTAGTAGTTATAGAATTTGAATTTGAATTTGAATTTGAATTTGAATTTGAATTTGAATTTGAATTTGAATTTGAATTTGAATTTGAATTTGAATTTGAATTTGAATTTGAATTTGAATTTGAATTTGAATTTGAATTTGAATTTGAATTTGAATTTGAATTTGAATTTGAATTTGAATTTGAATTTGAATTTGAATTTGAATTTGAATTTGAATTTGAATTTGAATTTGAATTTGAATTTGAATTTGAATTTGAATTTGAATTTTGAATTTGAATTTGAATTTGAATTTGAATTTGAATTTGAATTTGAGTTTGAATTTGAATTTGAATTTGAATTTGAATTTGAATTTGAATTTGAATTTGAATTTGAATTTGAATTTGAATTTGAATTTGAATTTGAATTTGAATTTGAATTTGAATTTGAATTTGAATTTGAATTTGAATTTGAATTTGAATTTGAATTTGAATTTGAATTTGAATTTGAATTTGAATTTGAATTTGAATTTGAATTTGAATTTGAATTTGAATTTGAATGTAGGTGGCGCCACCTACAAACGGGAGTCATATTGACATCAAAATCAAATTTCTCATGTCAAAAAACTCGAAAAAATCGAAATAAAAATAAAACTTCTATACCCAGTATCTCCGAAACTAAGCATTTTAGGATATACATACATTTATACGAACTTTTTTACTTATTTTTATCTGCAGAATATGCTGCCGAAGTTTCAGTACAGTTCGGACCACCCTGTATATTACTCATGCATATAAGACCAAAATTCATATTTAATAATAATTTGTTTTTAATAGAAAATATTTATAATAGTTTATATTGTTGAACTCTCTCAATCACTTTCCAACCAGATGAAAATACCTCAAGAATTTAACCAACTATATAACACTAAAATAAAAATCTTTAAGTTTATAACTCTGTTTTTTTTTCTATTTTCAGACAAGAAGCGAGGGAAATCTTAAGGAACGCCGTTAATGCCTCAGAGGATGAAGCGGTCATTCTTTGTGGCCACGGCTGTACAGATGCCCTCAACAAATTAATTTGGGCTTTGGACATTAGAGAACCACCTGTGATCTTTACCGGACCTAGCGAGCACCATGACAATTTAAATATGTGGCAAAAAACTGGAGCTAAGGTAAGATTTATATAAGTTAGTAAACATATAAGATTAGGTATCAGTAATTTATATATCTGTATTTGTTTGTATCTACTTCAAGATAATATTCAGTCTACAGATGAGGAACGGAATATCTAATGCTAGCTTTACGTGCTTGTCCAAGCTTCTCCAAGACATTGCAAGCCAAGCCAAACTTCTTTTTCCACGTTTGTACAGGGTGGGTCAAATTCGACGCTTTTAAATGGAAACACCCTTTTCTATAGGAGATAGACAAAAACTAATACCGGTGTCTGGAGCTTAATTTTTGTCAAAAACATGATGGTGAAAACCGCATATCGATATCTGTTACCGTTTCCGAGTTACGGGGTGTTTTTCAAAAATATGCATTTTTAACAAATCGGTGTAACTTTTTTGCTATGGAAAATTTTGTTTTTTTACGAAAACATTTCCAAAGCACCTTTTTACGTAGAATTTAATGGTTTAAGTATAATTTTTTAAAATTAATAATTTAAGAATTATCAACAGAAAATTTGATTTTTTATATGAGACACCCTGTATATTTTTAATTTATTGAAAAGAATTTAAAATTAGCTTTCCAAAAATATAACACACTTGATATTTTGCTCAATTCCTCTTCGAGATATAGAGTATATAAAAATTCGCCCTCTTTAAATAAGTAGGCTTTGAACGGCACAGGCTGTAATGCAAAAAAATTCTAGCTGTGAGCATCAATTAAAACGAAAATAATATCTGCTATGAGAGATGCAGAATTTTATAACAATTTAAAATATATTTAACCAACATCAACACATTTGAACTATATCTAATAACAATAAAAATAAATAGCAAACCAAGACATGAGATTTTGCTACAGGTGTTCGACATATCGACCGTCTTCTGTTATGGACAGACAGGTCAGTTTTTGAACATTTCTTGCGCAATTCATTAACTCGATGGGGGTGAAAGCTAAGTATTTTTAATTCTTGTCTAGATTATATGGAAGAATAAGGAACCTTCATTCTTCCGCAAATATGTGCATAGGATTAGATCCATGGGCACTAAGGTAGGCGGTCTCGACGGCCAATGGCTGGGATCTTGGTTAGCTATTCAATTATTCTTGAAATTGGCTGCAAAAATTTGCTGATAACTTCAGCGTTCAGAGGCGGTGCGTCGTCTTGCTGGAAATATAATGTTTTTGAGTTCCATTAAGGGCATATCATCAATAAGGGGTCCAAAGCCTACTAGTTACAAGTGGCGAACTTTTAAAAATTCTGTATTTTGAAGGGGATTATAACAAAATATGAAGTGTGCTATATTTTTGGAAAGATAATTTTAAATTCTTTTCAGTTAATTAAAAATATATAGGGTGTCCCAAATAAAAAATCAATTTTTCTGTTAATAACTCTTAAATTATTAATTTTACAAAACTTATACTTAAACCATTAAATTCTACGTAAAAAGGTGCTTTGGAAATGTTTTCATAGAAATACAAAATTTTTCGTAGCAAAAAAGTTACAGCGATTTGTTAAAAATGCACATTTTTGAAAAACACCCCGTAACTCCGAAACGGTAACAGATATCGATGTGCGGTTTTCACCATCATGTTTTTGATGAAAATTGAGCTCCAGACACCGATATTAGTTTTCGTCTATCTCCTATAGAAAAGGGTGTTTCCATTTAAAAGTGTCGAATTTGACCCACCCTGTACACTATGTCCCACTAGAATAGCTCTCGGCTGTATCTCGGAAAGTATTAGCCGTAGGGCATACGGAAAAAAATATTTATAACTAAAGGGGCTATGAGAAATTGCTGGAAATTATTTTCAAGTTTGTAAAACGGCCGCTAGGGGGCGCAACTGCTATGGAAAATAAGAAAATAGAATCTTTACACACTTTTACCTATATAATGGGTACTATAAATAATAGCTTCATAATCTACAGTAAATTTTCAATTTTTTTTTTGTTAGAACCATTTCCCTATCTGCTAAAATGAAGTGGTGGGGGAAGGTTAGATCTATCTTTATTTAAATGTTAATAACTCCGGACTGGATGATCAGAATCCAACAGACGAGGGCTCATTTAAAAGAACGTTTCTTGCTCTATATTATACCATAAAAATAATAATAATAAGGTTTTGAACGTAGACGCTAGCTGATAGTAAAGAGTAGTAAAAGCTTAAAAAGTCAGCGAAAACCGCATCTTGATATTATCTTCTTTCAAACCGAAGATATTAGCAAAATTATAATAAATACCAAACAATAAGCCCTTAGTTACTTTATTTTTATAACACGGTATCAGGAGCCCTCTTGATTATGCCCATTCTAACAAAAAAATAAGATAGAAACAGTTAGTTTATTTTAAAATCGACGAAATACCAGAATACCATAATACCAGATGTATTAATATCTAATAATAATAAACAGTGAACAAGAAACGATGATTCAGTGAAGTTATGGTAGGCTTTGGAAAAAAGTTGCTTTTGACGTAATAGTATAAACGTCAAATTGTTATTAAATCAACATTTTGATAGTCTTAGCAGCCTTTTTTTAATCTTCTAATTGCTTTTTCAAAATGCCCTTATTATTTGAAGTAGTTGAACTTGTTGGGGCATTTTGAAAAAGCAATCAAAAGATAAAAGAATTTTACAAGGGGCAATTTTTTATAGCCCCTTTAGTTATAAATATTTTTTCCGTAGGCCCTACGGCCAATACTTTCCGAGATACAGCCGAGAACTATTCTTAGTGGGACACCCTGTACTTGTAGACGCTTACTGAGGCTTCATAAGCATGTAAAAGTGGCTTAAAGATAACAGAAGAGTGTCAATATATAGATATACTACTATTTGGTTGAGTTGGAACATGTTCCACCATTTTTTTCATTTTATATTGCCATTTTAACGTTTTAAACAGCCTCTACACTTTGCGGAGAACTCTTCAAAGCACCTTTCGTTCTGAGCTATTTCCAAAACGTGGCGGTATCTGTACCCGAGGCAAAGGACTTTTTTTCCCTAAATCTCAGTGAAATAAGACCTAGACTATATAAAGTAGCTGTTGTTACGATAATATTTCGTTAATTACATCTCGTTTTATGTTGATATATATTCCGTAAGATTAATATTTGGACACGCTTTTATACAGCGCTTTTTGCAAAATAGCTGGCTAGTTTGAAAACTAGCCAAGTATCCATTTTAGCCGTGACATATATAATAATAACATGGTTTGATATAAATTCATTCAAAAATAAGAAATAATTAGACGATTTTTTAAATACTTTAACACCGTGGATTGCTTCTGAAAGTATTTCCAGAAATGTTTTGCGAAATGTTTCACGAAGTATTTTCAGAAATATTTCGTAAAACATTTAGAGGATAGTGTAGGGGCTGTTTTAGACTGGATTGAATTATATAAATTGCTTACAAAATGTAGAAATAATGTCTGGCCAAACGAGTCATTGAAAATCTTGACATCCAAAAATTGACAGAAAATTAAATTTGCCTATGTATTAAAATGACAGACACAACCATCACTATAACTTTAAATTTGACTTGTCTATTTAGCAAAATTTTACATGTATTTTGGTATTGTATTGTGGAGATATCTGTAAAAACTATCAGACATGTTTAGAATTCTTGTCGCCTTGTCGCAAAATCACGTAAAGCATTTCCAGATATTCAGAAACATTTTGTAGGTGTTTCGCATTTAAATTTGTAAAATGGTGCTTTACATTTTGAATTGTAGAAAAATAATCAGACAGAAAAAAAAATGATATGGACCTAGCTGAACTAATAAGGTTATTGTTTACTCCATATGTGTGCATCGCTAATAATATAAATATTAGTTATTTTTTGTAAAATACCAACAATACATATTCAGTAATATGAATAGTATAAATATGACTTCAGAGCTTTTGTGGATATGTTATATATTATTTAGAAATTACGTTTGAATTTAGTTTTTATAGTATTTTAAATAATAAAGTCAAAGGCATTTTACAATGAAAGAATTTTAGGGTTAATAAGTATAATAAAGTTATATAAGTACCAATTTCAGTTATATACTCGTAATGCAATAAGAATCTCAAATAATTATAAATAATTAATAATCATTAATAATAATAATTATATTCAAATTATCGAAGTATTGAAAAATTTTCTCTGTTTTAACCTTATCGTTTGAGCCGAATTTCATTCTCCGAACCATGTTTTCGACCTGCAGAATAAAAGGAAAACTCGCATAGAACCAAGTCTGGTAAATACTCCGTCTGCGGATAACCAGTTCTCGTCATAATCTATATGGCAAAAAAAGAAGAATGTATCAGACATGCGACAACCCGAAACGGCTTGTATAACGAAATAATATAATTATAACATTTTTGAAAACTAGGTATCACAAAATTTCTGATTAATACAGTATTATGATAGGAATTCTTGAAGAACTTTCAAATATTAAATAAGAAGGAGCCAAGATGTAGACTCTGTTTTGAGGATGTTTATTTAACAAGCAATATGTGCACTACTTTTGTAAATGCCAGCAAAAAATATACAGGGTATTCCTTTTTATTCGCCTTGGTTGATTATACGAAAACGGAAAGACGTAGAAACAAAATTTTTTTATGGGTATAATTTAAAATTATTTGAAATGTATAGGGTGTATCAGAACTAAGATCCATACCAAAGTTATATTTTTTCTTATGGAACACCCGGTATTATATTTCATTATTGTATTCTTGAACATAAAATCAGGCATTTACTATAAGGGTTTAATATGTTTAAATATATTAAGTTTAAAAGCTTTGGTTTTTGAGATATATAAAGATATTTAAATATGCATGCTATAATAAAAGAGTTTGTCAACACCTTGTATATTACTTTTCAGAATTAATTCTTGTGCTGACTTTGAAGCCAGAGAAATAAACTTTATTAAAAAATTTGATTCTTTCCTTAAATTTATACAGGGGTATCAAATATTGCTGGTTAAATATTTATTTTACATAAAAACTTCGTTATTTCAAATGCAACGC